CGTACAAAGGGTATTCTTGATTACATTCATTCTGATCTCTGGGGCCTTCTAAAGTTTCCTCTTATGGAGGACGCCGTTATATGATGACTATTATTGATGATTTTTCTCGCAAAGTTTGAGTTTATTTTCTTAGGTATAAAAATGAGACCTTCCCCACTTTTAAGAAGTGGAAAACTCTTGTTGAAACCCAGACAAGGAGAAAAATCAAGAAGCTCAGAACGGATAATGGATTGGAGTTCTGTGACGGTGAATTTAATGAGTTCTGCGCAAATCATGGAATTGCTAGACATAAAACCATTCCAAGAACACCCCAGCAAAATGGTGTTGCAGAACGAATGAACAAGACTCTACTTGAGAGAGCTCGTTGTATGCTCTCAAATGCTGGGTTATGGCATCGACGTGAATTTTGGGCCGAGGCAGTATCAACTGCTTGTTACTTGGTCAATCGTTCTCCACACTCGTCACTTAATTTCAAAATTCCAGAAGAAATTTGGTCAGGTAATCCTGTTAATTATTCCAATTTGAGAATCTTTGGATGTCCTGCTTATGCACATGTCAATGATGGCAAATTAGCTCTAAGAGCTGTCAAGTGCATATTTCTTGGTTATGCATCTGAATCTAAAGGATATCGTTTATAGAATCCTAAGTCACAAAAATTAATTCTCAGTAGAGATGTGACTTTTAATGAGGATGCTTTATTATCTTCTGGAAAACAAACTTCTGTGATTTCTTCTACTAGTACTAATAATCTGCAGGGTACTAGCGAGAAGGTGGAGTTGGAGTTGAAATCTACAACTCCTAATGTTGATGTTCCATCTACTTCTATCAATGAGTCTAGCGCTGATATTTGTGGTGATGATGATGTTGATGAGATTACCAATTCTCCAATTCAGTCGCAGGAAGAGGAGTATTCCATTGCCCAAAACAGACCAAGAAGGACGATTACTAAGCCAGCTAGATATGCAAATTATGCTTATGATGATAATTTAATTGCATATGCATTATCTGTTGCACAAGAAATAAATAATGACATTGAACCAGCCAGTTATACTGAGGCTGTTTCTTGTGCTGATTCTTCAAAATGGCTAGTGGCTATGAATGAAGAAATTGAAAGTCTTCATAAGAATGGTACTTGGAGTTTAACAGAACTTCCCAAGGGCAAACGGCCTTTGAAATGCAAATGGGTCTATAAGAAGAAAGACGGCATTCCCGGGGTTGAAGATCCTAGATGCAAGGCACGATTGGTTGTTAAAGGTTTCAGCCAAAAGGAAGGTATTGACTTTAATGAGATTTTCTCACCTGTTGTTCGTCATACCTCCATACGTGTTTTGCTTGCTTTTGTTGCTTTATTTGACTTGGAATTGGAGCAACTTGATGTTAAGATAACTTTTCTGCATGGAGAGCTGGAAGAGGAAATTTATATGGAGCAACCTGAGGGATTTATTGTTTCTGGTAAGGAGCATCTTGTCTGCCGATTGAAGAAATCTTTATATGGACTCAAACAAGCTCCGGGACAATGGTATAAAAGGTTTGATTCCTTTATGATTGGGCAAGGTTATTGCAGAAGTCAATATGATGACTGTATTTATTTTCAAAAACTTCCTGATGAATCTTACATATACTTGTTACTATATGTTGATGATATGTTGATTGCATCACGTGACAAGTCTCTGATCAGAAAATTAAAAACTCAACTCAATAATGATTTTGAGATGAAAGAATTGGGTGCAGCTAAGAAGATTCTTGGTATGGAGATTTGCAGGGATCGTCAAGCTGGTAAATTGTTCATATCTCAACAAAAATACGTTGAGAAAGTGCTTGACAGATTTAATATGTCTAATTGCAAACCTGTTTCTACTCCACTTGCTGCACATTTCAAGTTATCATCTGATCTTTGTCCTGAGACAGTGGAAGACATGGAGCGTATGTCACGCGTTCCTTATGCTAGTGCTGTTGGCAGTCTTATGTATGCTATGGTATGCACTAGACCTGATTTAGCATATGCCGTTAGCATGGTGAGTCGGTATATGCATAATCCTGGAAAGGATCATTGGAGTGCTGTAAAATGGATTTTTCGATATCTCAAAGGTACTTCTGATATTGGCTTGGTATTCGATAGAAATCATGCAACAACTGAAGTTACAGGTTTTGTTGATTCGGATAATGGTGGCGATCTTGACAAAAGAAGATCTCTTTCTAGTTACATATTTACTCTCTGTAACTGTGCTATTAGTTGGAAAGCTCAGCTTCAGTCTCTTCCATCATTGTCTACGACTGAAGCTGAATATGTTGCAGCAACAGAGGGTGTGAAAGAGGCTCTTTGGCTTAAAGGTCTGATTAATGAACTTGGTCTTACACAGGATGTTCTTACTGTGTTTTGTGATAGTCAGAGTGCTATTTACTTAACCAAGAATAACCGCTATCATGATAGGACAAAACATATTGATGTGAGACATCATTTTATCCGAGAAATTGTCGCTAAGGGTGAAGTCGTGGTTCAGAAGATTCATACATCTGAGAATCCAGCTGATATGCTTACTAAGCCTCTTCCAAAAACCAAGTTCCAACATTGTTTGGACTTGGTTGGTCTCTACAGCACTTGAACACCCTTCGGGGTTTAAACGACGTCGAGCAATTTATCAAAATTGATCCAAGGTGGGGATTGTTAGTCAAAATTAATTGTTAGTCAACATTGATGGCTCAATTTTTCTGCTCTATAGGCACCGTCTAATGATTTGTCAAATTGCTACAGTCGCTTGGTAGGCACCGTCCATGATTTGTCAAATTGCTACAGTCAACATTGAAAAAATAACGAGTTACTGTAGCAGTTTTTTTCTTATAAAAGGCAATGAATTACGAAAGGTCGAGATACGGAAATCGATCATTCACTGATCAGAAGAAGAAATTTGAGTGTTATTTTGTAGCTCTTATTCCATTCTGAGAGAGTATTTATTGAGAGAAAAAATAGAGTGATTTATTACTCTTTGTCCTCATAATTTTAGAGGACTTTTTGTACTCTCCCTTTTACATAGTAGAATCATTTTGCTCGTCGTTGTCCGTGGGTTTTTTCTCCGATTTGGAGTTTTTTCCACGTTAAAATTTTGTCTCCATTATTCTCTTACTTCTCTTTATTTCTAATTAAATTCGATCCAGTCTTCCGCATTGAGTTGATACCCCCAACAGTAAGGTATGTTTACAAACATTGTAATATCTTGTATTTGTATTCACGAACTGCAATGTCGTTCACCCTTAAGTAAGGGACTCCAATATGGAAAGAAAGAACTAATTAAAATTTGTTTTTATCAATTTTCGTTTCTCTATTAGTGCAGTGAGAGAAGAGGTGCATGGCCCTAAAATTGAAGCTGTGTTGTCAAGTGAGGGATTTCGAGGAGCAGTATTTAGAACTTCAAGTAGTAATTTTAAAAATGTTTATTCCTATTCTGCAAAGCATCTAAAGAGTAGGCAATGTTGGTGTGTTATTTAAGATAATGGCACCACTTCTTTTTTATGTCTGGTTTAAACCCTTTTTGTTTGCATGATTTATCTTCCATGTGCATATGTTGTGATTCCGTTGAAATGAGAAGCCATTGTCTCCGTTGTAGTCATAGATAACAAAGTGATGGTTACCACTTCACTTACTCCACTAATGAAGGTAAGTTTCTTTTTATTATTATTTGTATGAGTTGTAGTTGGCGTAACTGTTAATAATAATCAAAGCCGACTATACCAGTCTCTGCAGTCATTGGTGGGTAATTCCATGTGGTCTTTTTCTTTTGAGGCTTTTTGTTATTTTGTTTCCTGTTCTATTGGTTTGGTGGCAAGACCAATGGATCTTATGTTTTGCCTAATTTTTAGTTATCTAAGAGTTGTTTTGATGATCAAGGATTATAGTTTTCTTCTTAAAATGTATGCTTGTCCATTTAAAAAATCTCAATTATATTTGGTTTTGTGTTTTTCTGCTCCTCCCCCCTCCCTTTCCTGTATCATGTCTATTCAAATGCGTAACTTCAATGCATGATCAGTGTTGCATTTTGTTTGAAATAATCAGCTCAGTGATGTTGGTAGAATGCTACCCAGAGATAGAAGTTACCAGTTTTCATCTTTATATTTAATTATAAAATTGTTTTTCATGTTGTGGACTACAAGCAATTGTTAATATTTATTTTATTACAAACAGGTTGATAATCTATCCATATATGATAGGCTTAGGATGAATCGGCATTCGACGTCTTATCCATCATTGTTTGGCTAAGGTATCAGCGGCAAATAGTGTAGATCAGCTTGTGATGAGAGGAGTTAGTAAGAGTTGGATGTTTATATATAGAGGCTATGTCCTCCTCCACTGCTAACTTAGTTTTCTAGGTTGAAAACTGCATTAATACTTTGATTAGTTTGATAATAGAAGAGAAAACCTAATCCCTAAAGATCAACGCAGTCATAGATAATAAAGATACTTATACATGATATATGATGTATGCAGTGTTTTTATAATCTTATATGCCATCGAAGTTAAATCTTACTTAATATTTTTTGGAGGTCAAAAGGCGCTCAGAAGTATAAGAGACCTCTATCAATAGGTTAAAGAATTGATCACACCCGTGAGTTTGACACCACAGCTTGACCCAGAACTTCAAAATAATGAGTCTATGAATCTTTATTACTTGTGGTCCTCACATAACCCAGTTTGGACCAATGTGGTACTCACTACTCAATCAATTTTCCAACATTAATGACCTCCTCTCTCTCTTTTGGTTTTGGATTTTGTTTCTGCTTTCTTATTACTATAATATAAAGCTTTGAAGAAGGTGCTGGAGTGAATATGGCAATGTAGCATTTGTCTTTATACGCAAAATACTTAAGACTTCTTTCCAGATCATCATGGACATTTGAGTGCAATGGTGAACATGCATGCATGATATATTTTCTATCTTATGATCCTTGTGTTGCATATTAGTATGCAGAAACCCACCTGAATCGCTTGAAATTGTCAGTGTAAATGCTCATTTCAGAGCACCTCCACCATGGTTTGAAGCAAATGAGGAGTTGAGATGCATTTTTTCAGGAAACCTCATTTCCTCTTCAAATACGTCAGGGGAAGTTTGTAAATTTGAATCCAAAACAGGTGAAAGCAGCTTTAGGAAAAAGATATAAGATTGAGCAAGGGAGGGAGAAGAGAGGAGAGCTTGCGAGGAGTGAATATGTTCTCTACTGTCTTCCTCATTTTGGCAGGGTCTAGCTATCTGGTAGCAGAAAAGAACACACATGATAATTTGAGAGGCAGAAACAAAAGTCATTCGTGGTTGAATTTCAATATGAGATGGATATAAAGATACAAAGTTATACTGTTAAAAGAATGGTGAGTTTTATCTTTTTTGTTGTAAATTCTACTATCACTGATCTAGTTACTCCAATTGGACCAACCCAGTGGTTAAGGGTCAGGTTTAAACTGGACAAACTGGACCGGCCTGTTACATTAGTGGGCTGGGGAATGCATATACACCTATCTTACTGACAACATTTTATTATCCTTTATTAACAATTATATTCTGAGATGTATAAGTGCTATTGTTAAATTTACAGCAAAGTGGAAAATGAGGAGATGGATTCATAGCACTAACGTCTGATGCCGGTTAATTTAGTTTTCCTTCCTTCAGCAATACTACATCACATTGGTATTTCAATCATTTATTTGTAATGTTATAAATGTGTTTCTTTTGTTTGTTTGCATTTGCAGCAAATTGTTATCGACGGTGATCATACAAGTGAGTAAAATTTGTGATGACAATCTATTAGATAACCCATAGTTAGTGGAATAATGAGTTAGTTTGGGACTTGGATGATTAGAAAATTAAGCATCTTGCTTATAAATAATAAAAAGGGTGGAGAGGGAGCGGTATCTCGTCATTTGTGAAAGAATAGGGGGCTATGAGCATTGGAAGGTGCAGACCCTCAAAGTTCTACAGCGTGTTCTATTTTGTAATTGGGATTTTGTCCCTACTCTTCCAAATAAAGATATCAGATTTCTATCACAATCTATTCAAGGGGTTGACATATTGTGGCTGCTGCGACTTTTACTATGGTTGATCAGCACAAATATTTTGCAATAACTCAGCATTTTGAGAGTATATCAACCAGCTTGATTTTCAACATGGGGTTCTATTGACAGTTTTAGATACCATGGGGCATCATGATCCACAGTAGTATTATAAAAAATACTGAAATATTCTTACAAGTTAAAAGATCTAATTTCAATGTTCCTTTTTTAGATAAATTATTCAGGTATTTTTCATAATGATTCGTATTTTGTAAAAGCAATAGATGTGCCAATGCTGATCGACCTTGGAGGAAGCGTGATCTCTGCCCCTCTATAAAGATTTTGTTTAAGATAACCAGTATTTGCCCTGCACTCAGTATCATGTAAGCCACTGTGATTGTATTGAAAGTTGAAATTGAACTATAGTTTAGTTTATCCAGTTGCTTAGGGTGAAAAATGCTAATTGATAGCGAGTTCTTTATATCATCTCTATAATGAGAATATTTACTACTACTTTCGCATAGTACTATTTACCCCAGCAGGGCAGAACCCTGTAGAATTTGAGGGACCTCTCATTCTGAAATGCCATAACTTCCCTTTAGAATACAACAAATTCTCATCACACAGGAACTCCCAAGAAAACCATTTCTCTATCATACGATCTACATCATGTACTACTACATCTGAAGCATTCCCAGCTCTAGCTAGTACACTTGCAGTGTAAATGGTTGCCATCCTTCCTGGTGACTCTGGCGAATCTCCGCTGGGTCCATCTACCACCATGACATCCCAATTCTTCTCATACACTTGTGATGGCAAATTTTTCAATGCGAGCTTGCATTTGGATTTTTGAAGGAATCTGTGGTTTGGTGCACATTCTGGGTTCTGCCTTGCGTGCTTCAGCAGTTTGTATGCAGCTTTTGCTGGCATGTTATACTCAAGCTTGTATATTTGAGTACTGTTGGAGTTTATTCTCACCTTGCTTACTTTATCAGGATCATCCTCGAGAAAGATGGTGTTACCAGCTGCATTCATGGAAGAGAGGATAAGGTACTGAGGTTGAAACCCAAATATGAGAAGGTTGCATGGGGATTTAAGAGCAATGAGATCTGATAGAACTTCGAATTCTTTCTCAGTCAGGGTGTTGTTGTTGTTGTTGTTGGGAGGTCTTCTAGGTTGCTCTGAGGATCCAGGTGCCTGTGATGCAACTTTGTTTTGGGTGGACAAAGGTGGAGAACAACTTTGTTGAGGAGCTGGAGACAGAGCAAAAATTCCAGGGGTAGAAGGTGAGGTCTTGACACTCAGGCTCAAAAGTCTGAGTAGTGATATGACTGAAAGGATCAAAACTAGGATAGGGATGAGTTTCTTTTTGGTGAGATTCATCCCTTTTGTTCCTTGCCAGTAGTTGTGAATAGAAGGTTGATTTTCTTGTGCCCGAGTTATGAGTGGAGGTGAAAATTGAACTAGAGGTGATAAGAGAGGACGAAAATGAAGTATATCGGGGGGCATCTTAGTTTTTTTTCCTTTCCTAAAAAAAAAACTCTCTTCTGAGCAAACTTCTATTACATTACATCCTTCTCCAAGTGTTGTGAACTTTTGATTGTAATAGCTGTTCTTATGTGCTCCTTTTCATCTTATTGAGTAGGGAAGAAGGGATGCTTTTGCTTGTGTTACAAGTATCACCTTTCTTTTCATCCAGCTGCTTTACCTAATTGTTGTGGCTGCTGGTTGAACTCTAGAAATTAAACTACTAATGTCTCTTCCTTAGAAAGATATTTTTCATTTGAATCTTTTGTCTGGGTGCTGACATGCATCCTTAAGTTTGGTTTATTGTCAAAACTTCTTTTTGTTTGGTGATCATGAGTAAGCCTGAAGATGGATAGTGGGTTGTTGCTGGGTCTCTTTCAAATTTCAGTCCATGTGACTAGAGTGTTTTTGTCATTTCATATATTGTGATTTGTGATTGGTGACGGTGAGCAATGATTGATTATTATTTTACGTTTCTCCTTTCTGATGTTAGATTTTTCACTTGCAAACTGAATGCTCAACTAGCCAAGTTTGCCATGGGAACATGAGCTAGGGAAGTGGGAAAGTTGTTTCAATCAGCTGAGTAGTATATTATACTTCTTATGGAATTTCCTTTTAGAAGAAGGGAGAAGAAAACAAAACAAAAGAATATTGATCACATTCAGAAGGGCTACCGAAAGATTTATTTGAGGGATAAACTTTCATACCATAGACAGATTGTAGTGTGTAGAGGGAACAAAGGCAACAAAAACCTAATACGATCACTTAATGCAACTAAGGGAAAACAATTTTTTGAACATCAAAGTGGGACAACGAAAAGTTCTATCCTTTAATATATATTTTTTTCTAGTGCAATTTTCAAATAAGTATATAAAAAATTAAAAAAGGTGAAATGCGGAATATAATTGTATAAATGTAACATATTTTGATGTTCAAATAACAGAAACTCGAGTCTGTGTTGTTATCAATATCCACGATGTGATTGAAGATGGAACTCACCAAGTAAATCGCAGCTTTGGGAAAAACAGAGGGTTTAATTTAAAGTTTCAAGGAGGCTTCGTGGAAAATTCTAAACCGAAAACTATAGTAATGTTGACTGATTATTGGCCCTAAGATTTTGTAATCTGTATCCTCCAACAAGAATTATGGCATTTTCTAAATTCTTTTTGAGTACACCTGTGTTTTGACCTATTAACTGCCAACGAACTATATAAATTTATTATTATGAGTTTATCAATAAGTTGGGCATTTTAAATTACAAACCTATTTTTTTAATATTTATTACAGTTAATGAACAGATATCCATTTAAAATGATTGTTTAATATTTATTATTTACCTCTAAGTTGTGACTATTAATAATTTTTTATTGGTAAGTTTGCTTTTAAAAAAAATCTAAAAAAGTCCAACATAGTTTTATGTTTATGTTTGTTTTGGTAAATTTTTTTATTTCTTATTTTGGTAAAGTGTGTTTATGTTTGTTTAGTTATATTAAATGAATTTAATTTAAATACAGTGTATTTTTTTATAATGTCATTTAATTATGGATTATTATATCAACAAAAATATATTAATTTTTCTAATAACTAATAAAATTAAATTCATGATATGTTTTAATTGATTGATTCTGTAAAATATTTTATTATTAACAATAAACTAAAAAACTCATTATATATAATTGTTAATGTGACCTCTACACATAATATTCTTTTTACAATATTTAATAACGCATAATAAGAACTGATGTATAATAATTTCTTATTAAAAATTATAAAATACCACTGAATTTAATCATTAATAATATAAAATTTTATAAATTTTTAAATAAAAAATGTTATTTATTAATTTTTTATTATATGTCCTAGCACACCGTAGAAAAAAATCCTTTTTTCAGGCATAGCAAAACAGCGTACCAGTCTATCTCCATAAAATTCTCTTACGATAAGAAATTATTAAATTTAATATTTAATATAATTTGATGGCTTAATTATCCAGTAGATGAGTATATTAACTATATTTTAAAATAATACAAAGCATTTTAACGTGTAAGTATGGTTCAGTGGCAATAATAAGTGATTTTAGGGGTGAGAGTATAGATCTATATTAACAGTAATTGACTTTAGTGCTGATGAATTTTAATAAACGTTGATCATAGTTGGCGGGCGAAGATTATGCTGATTTTTTATGAGGATGATTCCACCATAATGACAATTTTGTGAGATGCTCATAATACTATGCTGCTAACTCTACCCACAATATTTGCCAGAAATTGCACAATCGTTTTTACCTTTTGTTAATAATAACTGTCTTGTAATGTCAACTATCAGTGGACCGTCCGAGCAAATATATTTTTTATGAAACTCTCATAAATAAATTTAGAGATAATCCAAACCAAATACAAAATCTAAGTCTAAACTTTAGTTATCTAACATTACACTTAGACCTTAGTCTAAATCAAGTCATCATCTTCATTTTAGAGCTTCAGCATCCTCTCAAACGATCTTATCCTCCAAATCTTCATGGTTTTCTTCGTAATTTTATCCTTCACTCTTCTAACTATTCTCAGCCAATTTTAAATTTGTCATAACAAATACTACATCTTTCATTATATTTTACTTCAAACAATTTTTTCTTTTAATATATACCAAAATAAATTATAATATATTAAATTATAATTTAAGAATTAAAATAAAAAAATATTTAACTAATCTACTATATAAATTTAGAAAAAAGATATTTACTTATTATATCAAAAGTACTCTAATTATATTTACACAAGAGAAACTAATGTCAAGCTTAGTATCCAAATAGCAAATTTTTAAAATTTAAGATGCTCATCTCCATGAGACACCCACTAATTAGTTGACAAACACATCAATAGTGTTTCTAGCCTAATAATTACCAAAATTAACAACTTGCTTTCTAAATGAATTAAGTTGATAATTAATTTTACATTGTTCATCTTCATTAGGCACCATTCTTATCAAACAATTATATATTCCACACTTAAGTTAATCAACCTTAAATTTAGGACTATAGTGCATCTTAGAGTTAAAAAAATAGCTTGTAACATGCAAAGACCTATAAAGTTGTTTGTTTCATATTTTATCTATGATATTCTATATAAGTACACAACAGATAAAGAGTAAATAAAAAAAAGAAATAAATTGAATTAATGATCAAAATTTAATATACAATACAATATAGACCACACAATATCTACTAATTTAATTTGATAATGATTACCTTTTTTTAACTACATTGAAAGCGGTTTGAATATTCTCTTTAACTTGATCTATTGCCTCATAAATAAAGTTCATAATTATTTCATCTGAATAAACCATTGGAAGAATTTTGATAAGAGGAAATGCAGCCTTCAAACGAGTGATAATATTCTTTTAAAACTCTATTCAAAATCAATTCTTCATTCTTTGTCTTAACAAACTTGGAAGACTTCCATTTATTAAATGTGAACATTCTTATCAAAGCAGCTTTATTTTCTTGAAAGCACCATCGAGTAAAATAAGATGTGACAAAATGAATAATTTGCTGCATTATCAGTCATAACTTGGGCTATATTTTTCTCATCAATCTCTTCAACATCATCAAGCATTTTAAAGATTTTATCAACTATTTTTTCTACATGAGATGCATCAATATACTTCAAAAATATTGTTCCTTTAAAACTACTTATTAAAAAGTTCAACATTATTCTTTTTTTTTTGTGAGTTCACCCATTAGTCATTAATATACATCTAATAGTATTTCATTCAGCTTTATGTTCTTTTAACCTCTCTAGTAAACTCTATTTCCTTTTTTAAATACTTTATTTTAATCTCATAATAGCTTAGTGGTTTAAATTCAAGACCATGACTAGTAACTAAATCACATAATATTACAATCAAATCATACAAATTTTATACAAACCTTCTCCATTCTTAAGTTTCTTACCCTAAACTTAATCTAGATACTTGACTCAAGTTAGATTTAGGATTTGTTATGAAAGAAAAGTGAGATTTTGGTGGTCAAAGAAGCTTGATCGTGTGACAAGGTGTTATTCTTACTCACAGAAGAATCATATTTTAGGATTAATTACCTTAAGACTTAATTTTGACAGATTTAGTTAAGTTACTCAATGAATGTGGAAGTAAGATAGTTGAAATCATATTTACTCATTGAAGATAAAGTGTTAGCAAGTGCATTTGAATCCAATCTCTTTTTTGTATAAAATTTTTTACTAAATTTTACTCTAGTTACTTTTACTTATTTTCATGCAAACCATTATTTCAACCATGTTATTCCATTTTTATATATAACCAAGAAAAAAAATCACTATTATCACCAAATCCCTAAAGACAATATCAATTTACTACAACGAAACTTGATCTCCTTGCCAAATGTTACAAAAAAAGATCACCACTTGTAGCAAAATTTTTAATTTTTTGCTTAATCACATGAATTTTCTACCAATAGGTGTTAGCCTTGAATTAGTTGCCAGTAAAACTTAGATTCAACGACAACAAAGCTTGAACAACCAATTAATAAAATTCAACAGTGTCCATGTAGAGCTAAAAACTTGGGTAGCAAGGTCTATATAAAAGTCAACAAATAATAGAATTGTCAAGTTGTTACGTTATATTTTCAAGGGCCAATCATAAAAGGTCAAAAAAATCATAAGTCTAACCAATTTTAGGTTTGGCTACACTCAATTTTCTTAAGTATTTTTAAACTTTTCCTCTAATCAAGGTTTTAAACCCTAATTTTAGGATTTTATTAATAAATATCTATCTTAAAATTAATTATACAATTCTTTTATTTTATGGCATAAATAATCCCTAAAATTTGTCTAAATATTATATATGCACACATAAAAGTTATTTCATTTGTAAGGCTATAAAATTGGGGATGTTACACTAGGCTCACCTGGTGAAACATTTTTTAATGAAGAATCCCTAGGACTATTCTGTTATGACAACTAGATCGCAATGTGCAGCAACCACACATCACCAGATCAGAGAAACTAACCACCATATACTAGATCTGCAACAGCCACCATCACGTGCCTTATTTTCATGGGATTTGCATGTTGCGCTCTGATTTGTCAACAAGAAGATTGGGTGCCTGTGCTGCGCTTTTTTCCAGGCCAGAGAAGTCAATGGCAGTGGTTGCCAATGGCCAGAAAACACTGTGAAGTAGGTTCGTCAGAGATAAAATAATCAATAAGAACAGTGTTAAAATATGAATATTTTAATCAGGAGAGTTGTTAAAATAGGTAAAAAATGATGTTGCACCATTAGTGTCACCTTCTAACAAAATATTAGATTTCTTAATTTCTTGTTCAATTTTGACAAGATGAACTGATTGAGACTTAAATCCTAGCCATATAACCAAAGATCTAAACGAGTTTGACTGGAAAATGCAATATCAAAGTCTTGAAATATATAAACTAACACTGTACTTTTAGAATGGCAAAGAAAAGACTAATGCACTGACTTGGTGGCGATGTTTTAACAATCTAGCAAAACAAATGGAACTTTCGTATTGGAATACATTAGAGTGGACACCATGTTTAGTGTTAAAAAGTTTTGCACGAGAAAGTGAAGTTGATAATAACAAATTGATGTCTTTCTCACCATTCTAGTTTGTCAATCCTTTTGCTTGATCTAACAGTAGGGGACTGGCACATAAAACTAATTACTGTAGAAAACAGTCATAATCAATCACAAAATCTTTACCATTTTATAGATATATAGAAGGGAATTAATTTCTTTGCCTCAGAGTACTTTTATAATCTTTTATGACATAAGCACACGAAGAGAGCCCAACCCAAAAGACCAGTCCATTAGGTGGGAGAACTTCAAGGCTTAAGTACCACATAAGATGCACTCAATGCGAGACTCATTAACATTGCAGCCCCCTTTTAAGGCTGACTTCCTTTTGGTGGCTCCACTCATCTATCAGTATACGGTACATTGTTCCTTAACCCAGCCTAAAAGCACCAATTGTTATGACTTGACTCAAGCACATGAAGAGACCCCAACCCAAAAGACTACTCCATTAGGTGGGAAAACTTCAAGGCTTACGTACCACATTGAATATCTGTTTCTACTCAATGTGGGACTCATCATAATCATGAGCAACACCAAAACATTCTTGATCAAAACAATTAACAAGAACAGGACAAAAACAGGTATATTAAGAGGAAATGAGATACTCTCTCTAACAAGTCTACTAAGATTTCTCATGAGCTTGGAGCACTAAAAATGTTTGATGGTATTTGAGTCTTATTTATATCATATAAATGCAATGTGCATTATTATATCAAGATGCTAAATTATAAATCTGTTTTTCATATAACTCTTGAACAATGAATGGACACGGTGCTGAAAGAATGCTCTCTAGAAATGGAAATAATAATCAATTATAACTACCAGATTTGATAATTAAAAAGTATTCAGGAAGTTTTGCAGATCTCCATTAGAAACTGAGGCATCAGAAACTGAGCTTATTTACAACAATCCATTTTCAAATAATGCAAAAAGCCATCTCTTATATAAGCCAGATCCTAGAAATTCCAGGTTCTTAAGGAGTAAAAGCATATTCTGACTATAGCTTATTTCCAACTATCCTTTTTGAAATAATGCAAAAGGCTGTCTCTATTAATATGCTAGATCCTAGAAATTCCATGTTCTTAAGGACTAAAAGCATATTCTGACTATTCAAACATTTTATCTTGAATTAACATGTTTGGCATGTATAGATAGAGTTAAAGTTAGACGACGGAGAGCTGATTAAATTGAAACCACTATTCAATGAAATATGAGCAAATGCAAACAATTAACATATTAGCATAACATGCTGCATTTAAATTTCCCTTCCTTGTTTTGAAAGTCCTTAAACACAGAAAAAAATCAAAATAAAGAGGCAATAATACAAGTGTTTTATGAATTGTTCCAAATATATTACCAAATTGAGTCACCCATTTATACATAGAGCTTGTCTACTCCTGAACAAGAGTTTCCCCAATCTACATTGACTCAGATCCTGTTTTCAGCAGATAATGGATCCCTGCCTCTTTCAATGCCATTCTAGCTTCCTAATCTGTTGCATGTATCCTGTCACATTATTTTAAACATCAAACTAAAATCTTCTACTAATTGAAGGAAAGATCGACTATCACCTGTAAAACTTTTGACGACCAAAATGGAATAGATGAAAACAGAAGCCTACAAAGGCACTGAACATTACTCACATTTTATTAGGTGTGAACATCTTAGAGCTATAATTTAGCGCAGGTTTATCTATGTTCTCTAGTTTTGTTATTCTCTTTGATATAAATGCAGCTTCCTCTATTCTTCCCCTTGCCTCTAGAGCGGTTACCAGGTCATTTAGGCATATCAATTGCTGATGTAAACCCTTCTCCACCAATTCATAGCATAAACTAAATGCTTCTGAAACTTTTTGAATTTTACAAAGGTCTAGAATAACTGAATTACACAAATCAATATCGACATTCTGATGATTTTCCAAACTAAAAAGCAACATTCTGCATGCTTCTGATGGCTTCCTTCTCTTGCAAAGAAATTGAACCACTTCTTCTACTTTAACACAGTATCCATTCTTGTAAAGCAACTCAATAATTTCAAATGCTCTATTTATCAGTCCATGCCCAAAAAGTAGCAGTAAGCTCTCAGTTGACATTCTTACATTTTGTCTGATATTTTTCTCCAGCATCATGACAATAACATAGGCAGACTCATGAGCACAACCCTTTTCCAAAAGTTTCGCCAGTATTGAATGCCAGGTAGATGTTTTAGGTTGATAAGAGCTTTTAAGCATTTTCTCTAGTGTCTCCTTTGCAAGCAGAGGCTTATCATTTTGAAGAAAACCATCAATCAAATAATCATATATCTCAACATCAGGAAGAAAATTTCTTCTGAGCATCCACATCAAAAGCTCATATCCATTTTCATATGCACCTTCACTACAATGTCCCATAATCACTGTCTTGTATGATAGGGGATCTTGAGTGCCCCTTTTCATTAGCTGTCTAATCACCCTCTCAGCCTTCTTAGTTTTACCATGTTCACACAAATACTGAAAAATAGGACAAAAAGAGGCAGCAAGTGGCTTAGAACCAAAATTTCTTAACAAGATTTCCTTTTCAAATAACTCATCAAAAAGCATCTCTGCCATATTCCAGTCCCCTTTCTGACATAAACTTCTTATCAGAATGCTGTATGAGGCTGAATCTGCTGGGACCTGAAATTTTTTCATGCTTTTAAACACCTTCAATGCTTCTTCCATATTTCCTGCACAACAATGTAAATGGATAATTATATTGAAAGTACATGTATCTGGATTTAATCCACAATCCCCTTTCAATTGTTCCAAAATATCTTTCAGCTTGTCCAACTCGTGTGCCTCACAAAGTCCTTTTATTAGAGTATTATAGGTAACTATATTCGGCTTCAGCCCCCTGCCAATCATCTCTTCAAGAATAACCAAGGCCTCATCTACTTCTTTTTTCATACAATACCCTCGAATCAAAGTTGTATAAGTAACAATATTAGGATTCAAATCCATGCATTTCTTGCTCATACCATTCACTAAATTATGAGCAATTCTAACCTTCCCTGCCCTACACAAACCATCAACAAGTGTATTATATGTTACAACATCCGGATTGCAATTGAAGCTCATCATCTCCTTAAAGAACTGAAACCCTTCATCAACCATGGAATTCTTACAAAACCCTCTGATCAAAATATTATAGGTACAAGTGTCCGGCGTAACGCCATACGTACTGAGCATTTCATCATACACTTCTTTCGCCATATTAGTCCGGCCCCTTCTAAGCAATATAGACAAAACACTGTTGAATGTGACCGCAGATGGCGAAACGCCAATGGACTTCATAATCTGAAAAAGCTTCATAGACTCTTTGAAGAGGCCAGCTTCACCATAACTCCTAATCAAGCTATTGAAGAACCTGTCCTCGAGCTTGACGGTTCCATTGGACCTTTTCTCAATGGAAAAGAGGAAATTCCTAGCCACATTGAGATTCCTCTCACGACCCAGAATTTCTAACATGATGAAGTAGGATTGGGCACTGTGAGGGAAACCCATTTCCTGTGCCCACTTGAAGAACCGAAAGGCCTTGGATGGGTCCCTGATGAGGCGAAGAGTTTGAAGCACAGTGGTTTTGGAGAGAGGGGTGGTGAGAGAAGACAACAACCCTTTTGACCAAGGATTGGAATTTATGAGATTAACCATGGTTTTAGCTGTTTTACTTGAATTTCTTAATCTGGGTCTTTTGTTTTGGTTGTGTTCTTTAACCCCATTGTGGTTTTGTGTGTGATCAGAACAAAAGTACCTGAATTCAAAAAATAATAATAATAATAAGATTTTGAGAGAGAAGAAAAACACAAAAACAAAAACAAAATGAACATAAGAAAAGAGAAGAAAGGACTTCGAGAAGGGTACCTTAGGGTGGAGTTGAAGTTGAGGACGGGAACGAAACGCTGATTTGTAGAGACTTGTGACGAGAGACTGAGAGAAACCATGTTGTAGCAGGGAACTCGCCGTGGCATATTGTCATTGAACGCCGTTTCAACCCTCCATTTTGTTTTTTCATCCGCATTCAATTCGAATCGGCACTACACCGCTCCATTTGAAGTGAAACAAAATTTACATATTTTAAGATATCAATTTTATCATTTTATAAGAAAGAACAAATATCCAATTTTGCAAAACAGAGTTACAGTTCTATATAAACAGCAGTAAATCAAATCAATATTTAATATCTTAATTATTCAATACTTATTTTTAAAAATATTATTTTAATTTTTTGAAAGAGTATTCTTATGTAATTTCTTACTTTCCTTTGTTTCATTTATTGAGTATATATATACAACTCTCTAAGATAAGGAATTAAATAAATTTTTAATATTATAAAATAAAAATGTGATATTTCAATTTAAAAAGATTAAAAATTATATATATATATATATATATATATATATATATATATATATATTAGCAAACATAACTAACAGGAGAATTACATATAAAAAAAGAAATTATTATGTTTAATATTTAATATAATTTAATTTTCACACTGATAGATAGATAAACAAGAGAGAGCAGTGGAAGATTTAATTTGATTAAAAATAATATTTTAAAAAAATTGTAATTGGTCCATTCTTTCTTTTTTTTCTTTTTTGGGTCATTGATCGGTCCATTCTGAAGTGAGGAAGCGGACATTTTGCCAGAAAAAATGAGTCTTCTTTGTTGATTTTTTGTGCTTAATTGGTAGCGCGTGAAAAAAAACACGATAGCGCGTGAGCCGGGGAATATATTAATAATTTTCTCTTCCAATTTTTAGTTCAATATTATAGTTTTATTTGCAAGTATTCCATTCTTGTGCTATTATTATACCTATAAATGCTTACAAAAAAAAATTACTATATTTAGGAAAGTTTTTAAAATATAAATAAAATTGTTAAAAAATATGCATAATTTATTTAAAATAAATTGAATTTAATATAAAAATTAAGAACATCAAGTATCCTTTTCCAAGAGACTAGAGAGTGATAAGTCAATCTTAAGAAAGTATGCTATTAAGTTATATATATATATATATATATATATAGAGAGAGAGAGAGAGAGAGATGAATTGATTTAACATATGTATAGAATATTATCATGAAAATTCGATATTTGATTAAGAAGATAAATAGGAATTAAGTAGATAAATAGGAAATTGATTAAGCAAATTAAGTAAATTTATAAATTGTCTAAATTTTATTTGTGACTAAGAAAGACAAATAATAAACCAGATCATGAATTGAGCATATTAAATTTAAATGGAAGAGGGTTATTTTAGTTTGATATTTTTAAAATATAAATATAAAATAATATATTAACATAAACGCAATATATTAATTATTTATTTATTATGATCAATAATATATATTTATTAATTTTAAAATAAAAAAAAATTGTCCACCCTTCCTTCGGTCTTATCGCCAAAATCAATTTTTTCATACGATTTTTGTTCCTATTTCTTACAAGCTAATGAATGTTTTTTCAATTCCTAGAAAGCATGCAGCCAGAGTAGCACATTTTTTTACGTTACTGCTGAATTTAATCTTTGGAATCTGAATTAGTTTTGTCTCGAAGTTGATTTCACTATGCATGTGGTTTTTACTAGTCCAATTTTCTTTCCCAATCAATTCTATTCATATTTTTTGCTGGAAGCTCTTCAGATGTCTAGCAGCCGCTGAAAATTACCAAGAAATCTTTTCAAGTAGTTAACTAGCCAACTTTCCCAATAATTAAGGAAAATTGAAACAGTAACTCTGATATAATACTTAACAAAAAGATACGGTTGCACAGATCCTTGAAATCACACATGACATGAGGGCATGCTTTGTTGACATTCTCCAAATTTTGTCAAATGGTCATTTTCCATCCAAAATATTAAATTCCCATGGTGATGTGCATTCCCATGGTCATTTTTTTATGAGGCTTTTTATGCCTATAGACATATGTCTTTTGGGCATCTTTCTACCTAAGATTACACAAGTTATTGGCAATGAAAAGCAACTATATTTTGTTTCTGAAAATGTTGAAGACTGAAGAAAATATTGCCGTGGGAGCAAACAGCAAGGAGAATGGTGGATCTGGGGGTAAAGTGATCAAAATTCACGGCTATGTTCAGTTCATGCTTGTTATTACTTGTCGGTTCTATTTCAAGTTATCAACTGCTAAAACTTTATGTCAGGTAACAGACCAGGAAATGGTAGAAGATGAAGTCAAGGACATTCAGAATGTTCCTGTAGGACCTATACACAGATTAATAGCAGAGAATGCCAAGTCAAACAGTATGGTTATAAAGGTAACTAGCAAACTCTCAGTTTCTTTGTTTCTTGTACATGCATATAATGTTATCTGTTTCATTGAAACACAAATGGAATTAATTTGGTACCGAAACAGAAATCACATGTGGTTATTCCTCCTCATATCACAGCTGAAGCCATATCAAAGATCCGTGATATTGACATTAGATGGTCAGGTCCAATAACACACAATGAAATGGAATATGTTAAAAAGTATGCCGTGGCAAAGTACCCAGAATATGCTGGTCTAATTGAAGGAGATGGGAATGGTATAGACTTGTCTAGCTTTATCATCAATGAGGAGCCTTCAGAACCCATGTCAGATGATAGGAGGAAGTCACCAAAAGGGTCTTTTAGAGAGCCTTTGTTTGGAAGTAATCTCCATTGGAGAGGACCCAGTTGGAGCCATCGAGACTACTAGATATCCTCAACAAAAAATCCTCATTTCCTGGAAGTTTCATTTCAATCCCCGAAATCCAAGCCCAAAATAAGTTCTTGAAACACTGTGGGTTGCCGGATGATGAATACTTGGTTCTCTTCACTCCAAGTTACAAAGATGCTATGATCCTAGTGGGGGAAAGTTACCCCTTTAGTTAAGGGAAACTACTATATGACTATTCTTGGTGAACAAGAAGATTATATCAGGGAATTTGCTACTTTTAAGGAGTCCAAGGTGATCCTGGCACCCAAGACTTGGCTTGATTTCAGGATCAGAGGGTCTAAGCTTAGCCAAAATTTTAGGAGGAAGTGTAAGATCAGCCTAAAAGGCTAATTTGCTTATGCAGCAGATGTGAATGCGACATTGCATTGGATGTCAGAGGCTCATAGGAACTATTGGCATGTTCTGCTTGATGCCTCTGCATTGGTTGTGGGAAAGGATAGGCTTCATCTTGGGCTTCACAGGCCTGACTTCTTGGTCTGTTGTCTTGATAACACTCATTCCAATCCTTCAAGAATCACTTGCCTCTTAGTGATAAGGAAATCCTTTGACACCTCCATTGCTTCTTCTCAGTTTATTGGATATGGATGAATTAGAATGAGATGCAGGCTTGTTTGATATTTTTTGACAAAGTTTGAACAGCATAGCAATTAGCAATTAGCAATTTCTTAATTTGTATCATGAACTCGTGAATTTTCCTGAAGTACTTGTTAGATTGAATAAATGCTTCAACACACATATATAGAGCAAACCACTTATTTCTGGTTCAAAGGTAATATTAGTAATGTATACCTGATCATTTGAGTGATTTATATTTACTAGTTATTGATATTGTGATCCTTGTTTGGTTTTAGCGGCCAAACCATTTTTCCATGATAAACTTTTATGGCTTCACTATTTAATTTATCGGAGAGTACTCAAATAGTTAAATCATATGTAACTCCCTTCGCTGTGGTCAAGGAAAAAAAATCCTACGTAGCTCCTTGGTAATTAAAACAAAAAATATCTATATTATCTTTCATCAGTATTAACAACTAAACTCAACTCTTGGTATTTTAAAAATTAAGCCATTAGCCACCAAACCCTTAGATTCCAAGAACTTGCAACAAACTCTTCGACTTCTACTTTGTATGGTCTATCGTACTAAACCAATAGCCACCAAACGCTTAGATTCCGAGAACTTAAAGTTGTCCAATTTTGCAAACGCCGGTCATTCATAATTTATATACGAACCTACAAAATACAAATCCTGCTTTCAGATTTGTCAAAAGATCTATATTTAGGGAAATAGGGGCTGCATTCCGGCGTAGACCATGATATGCTAGTCTGCAGGACGAAGGTTTAAAAGGGTTTTTGTCCTTCTTTAGAAATTGAAGAATGTGATAGGAGTTGATGCTGTGGGGTATGCAGGAGTGAATCTCAAGCATGATACAATCAAACACACAAAATTAATGTTTGGGAAAAAACAAAAGATGAAACTTTTAAGTGCAGTTGAAAAAAATGCTGTTACTGTTAGTACTTAGTACTGTTTATGAATAGTTTTACTAAAATAAAACTTTAATTTTAAAAGAACAACAGATAAGTTTTGTTCTGAATAATTTATTTTTTCAATTTTTTACACAAATTCTGCCTTCTTTTGGGGATTGGAATCATGATTTGCTGGTGTCAGAAAATGATACAATCCCTACGGTCAATATGTACACAGTTCGATCTTAATCCAATTTCTCAAGTTAAGCACGTGGGCTATTTTCCAAATTTTAATTGAGTATAGCTCAATTTGAGCTGTTAGATCAAAATTAAGCAGCACTCATTCGCTAATTACACTGACTTCACGGGTTTTAATGACAACAAATCTAAATTCAAGACAGTCGTAAGCCACAGATAGTAACAAGGAGAGAAATAAAATTACACTTTTACACTAACAATTTCATCGTTAAATGATTTTTATTGAATAATTTTATGTTAATATAAATCTTTAGATTAAGAACTTCTATCATCTCAAAATTAGTTAATATTTTATTTATATATGCTAAAATTAACGTAATATATTTTTTAAAATATATATAATTAAAGAATATTTAATTACATTTTAATTTCATTGTTATATTTGTTTAATTTTAATAAAACTTAACACGAATAATTGAAATAATATCTAATAATATTGCCTGTGTAATTATTTGTATAGCTTATACTTATATAATTTAATCTCTCTTAATTATTTGGGCGTTTGTGTTTTGTAAACTTTTCAATAACGAATCATTTAAACTAATTATTAATTCTGTAATTTCCTGTCTGAAATAGACCCAAGATTTTCAAATTATTAATTCTAATTTACTCTTAATAGTACACTATTTAGATTTCCTAATCTACACGTATAAAACTTTTAACAAAGAAAGGATCAAACAAAAATTTAACCAAAAAAACAGTACGAAATCTCTTTTCTGTCTACGTAGCGTTAAGAGTTTATAATGATCGCCATATTTAAATCACAAATAGGCTTGTGAGACTCGTGATGGACATAAAATCAGTCACCATTATCCAATGTAACATTCAGAATTGATGTCAAACCCTAACCCTAAATCCTTCGAACTATTTCCAGAATGTTCATGCAAGAGGCATTGATATAAACTACATTTGGAATCTATTAAACTCCAATCATGCCACCAATATCAGATGAAAGCAAAGCCACAATTCGGACTATTGACTCTAGATGACCATAAACATCCAGTTCTTCTTTGGATTCCCTTGTAGCCACTCATTATTTTGGTTTCATTCTTCAGCACTAGAATCAGTAACCTATGGAGCTAGTCGTAAATAAAATAATCAAATGTCAGCAATAAAGACAGCTTCAATTTGAATTAGGAATCTCACTAACGGTAACATTCAAGGAGGATGGTTGAATTGACCCAGCCCAACCGGTACACCTGAGACATAATATAATCTTCCTCCGGGGTTGAACAGTATACCCTCAAAAGAACAGTAATAATGAAGATTAAAAATTGACAACCACTTGCCTCAAGAAATATTGCCGGTATACAATGAGAAGATATACACAACTAGTAAGAAGCCACCATAACAAAAATCAAAACACCTGCCACTACAAGATAGCAGCAGCAACTACAATGAGGGCCTGTATTAAAGTATATTAACACGCTGGACCTAGCATACGGCGAACCAAAAGAGTGCAAATTCCCCAACATGGCTGCTACCAACTTTTCTGAAATTTTCTACACTTCGTCTTGACCATGACTGCTACTTTTCAAGATGTTATACTTGCAGAGAGGGCAAGTAGCATTTATATACAGCCATTTGTCCACACAGGCACAGTGAAAATGGTGACCACAAGGAAGTTGTCGAAGGTCAACCCCATCATCATAAGCAGAAAGGCATATGCAACATTCCTACAGTTTGTCACCCCAAAAAAATATCAGATTAGCCGAACAACAGAGGGTGCAGGGCTACGAGCAGTTTTTTCAAACAATTAAGTAATCATATCAAAATTATCTCTCATTTTCTTGTACCATTTTGTCAAATTCCTTCCAATGGAAAATGCCATAGCTACTGAGAAGAAAGAACAAGAAAAAAAGGGGGAGGGAATGGAAGGCCAATTACAAAACACAACTGAAATAAATACATATTGCATACTCTAGTGTGAGAGTGAGTTCAAAATACAACTGTGTTATAGCTTATAACAAAGCCAGTGTTTGGAACATCACATGAATTTCCCTTTGAAATATGTTGAAATAATATGTCGTGACAGACAGAGCAAAAAGAACACCAGAACAAGGGATAAAAGGCAATGCCAACACATAACAAAAATGCACCAACATACCGCATCCTCATCAGAAAGAACATGTTCAATAGGAGAATCAGAATTGCATTCAGTCATTATTCCTCCAACAGGTCCTTGTGTAAGTTTCTCATTAGTTTCAGTTCTTTGGAACTTGAATTTTGACAACTTCTCAATGTCTTCTTTTGAGGCCCCTTCCTGCTTTTAAGATCCCCAACAAATGAGAGAGGCATTAAGACAGGCAATGGCACAATTAACACATTACAACAAATATTTCACAATTAAACACTCTTAAGCATGGTAGTTAAAATAGGGATGCGAATCGTAAAATCTTTATCCCAGCCAATCGATTTAGAGCGCAACAAAAATCGAAGCTGACTGAAATCGGTGTGAAATCGCAATTCAGATCGGGAAATCGGTGAAATCCCGATTTACTCCCGATTTCAGCCAAACACGGGTCGGATCGTCAAATCGGCCCAAATTGTATATAATTCGAGCCCACCCAGCCTTTTAATTAGGCGCGAATGAAATCCTGAGCCCGACACAGCTTTTTAATTAGGCGCGAAGGAGTCCTGCGTTCTTATCTTCTTCATTGAACCTTAAGTGCACTGTTAGCTAGGTCCTCTTCTTCTTCTTGGCGATTTCTCTGGTTCTCTCTGCCCCAACCTACTCATTAGCTATTTTTTTCTCATCTTCCTCTTGTTTTTTCGTGGATTATGCTTAATAGTTTTCTTATGAAATATGAATTATTTAAGTACTTTTAGTGATTTAATATATTTTTTTTAATTTCAACTATTTTATATGCAGAATATGAACTTATATTCATTTATATATAATTTTTGTAAAATCTTACGATTCGATTTACGATTTTACGATTTACAATTTTTACTTCTCTTAACGATTTTAAGTAAAATCCCGATTTTAACTACCTTGCTCTTAAGTACAATATAAAGTCATCATATTCACTTGAACACTCACTAATCAGTAATACATTCACAATCTACTAAGTTGTAGGAAAGCAAATCATATTAGTTACTCTTTCTCACAGATCCTGGAAGGTCAACAACGTCAATCTGAATGAAGCATACAAATCTTAGGATAAAGAATACTCTCTAAGAAAAAAAAAAGCTGGACAGGTCATTTCATCACAAGAAGTATAACATGTTATAATTCACCTCACCTTCAACCCTGAAAAATCTAAGGCACACAAGTTCATAAACAGTCTCCATTCTCCAAGATGCTCCCAATAACCAACCTAAAGACTTTACCTTTTACTGTACATGCAAACGTCTCAAACTTGGTTACTCTTCATCAAAAGTCATTTTGCATTACAAATTTCACATATTTCATTATAATTCGTTACATACTTGAAATATTAAACAACAACTCACAACCAAGAAACAATACCATTTCCATAAGCCTTAATTGTTATATTATATTTAAGATACTAAAACATTTACTTTTATCGTATATGTATTCAAAGACAATTTTTTCCTCCATTTTCTTGAAAGAAGGCAAAAATTAGCAACAGAGACAATTCGTGACTAGAAGGTTAAGCAAGAGACATGACTGATACAATCATTGCTTCTGGTCTACTTACAGATGCCTGCTCCACCAGAAAGTCACAAACAGCAATATCAAGCTCAAGAAAATATGATTTAGCTTAGGGTTTTCATTTTCAAGCAGCAGAACAAATGAATTACTTCCATTGTAACAATTCATATGACTGATAATACAAGACACAATCAAACCATCTTCAAGTTTCCCAATCATTCCATGCATAAGTTCTGGTCAGAATCTTAAATTCTAAGAGATCCAATTGAAGTCACACCACACATGGCGAGCAACAAAAATATAAATTTTAGGATTTTACATATTTAGTTTTGCTGCTGCAAGACAATTTTTCCTCCAAATCAAACCCCCCAACCTCCACAAATAGATCCTAGAAACAAGCATATATGAATCTCTATTTATGCCAAATAACAATTCCGTTCATTCTTGTTCCATCCTTCCATTTCATTTAGCCTCAGTAAATTCCAAAACATAAAAAATATGGGGCCATAAATTTTACCAATTTTCTTTCACATTCAGTAAATGCTGCTAACTAGAGTCAAATTTAATTACTTGAGCCACTAGATTCGTACATCCACACCAACTCAAACAAGAACCAGTAATGACACCATGACTTACCTGGTCTGCAACTGCATAAAGGAGTGCAATTATACACGGAAGACAACAGCAAACAGCAATACCAATGATGCATGCCAGCGCAATACAGAAAACGACAAAGAAGACATCAAAACCCAGGAAGACTATACATAACCTGCAAATCCAGTAGAATTTATCAAAAGTGATCAACTAAAGTAACTGTAGGTTTCCCACAAGGAAAACAAATTGTTAATAAGTATAATAATAACTGTATGAACAGGTTGCACGTGCACACGCATGCGTTTGTGAGCAACCGGAGAGTGAGAACAAACCAGTAAAGCTGAGGAGAATCTTGGACTAAAGCTTGACTATCAGCTGACACCCAATAGAATCCGACAACCCACCAAATAAACGAAAACATTGTGTTGGCAGATTCCAAATGCTTCGCTGTACTGCTTGGAGAAAAAGTCAATACATAAAACCTTAAAAACGACGAATAAATCAATAACTGATGGCATTAATTTCACATGCTAAGAAATATTGAACACGTGTTATTGTTTCAACTCTCAGGTCACATCATGATTACTGTAAACACAAACTTAGAAAGCATCTTAGTTTATCCAAACAAATATCTTATTGATTCAAAGTTAGGAGGTTTAATTAAAACCAAAAAAATATATCATTAACAAATGGCACAAGTTATTAATCTTACACAAAGGCATGTATACAACCTATTTGGAAATTAAATCAGGTAAATAAAGCATCTTTCCCATTTCATCCAGTGTTTACAATTTTATATAGAGAAAATCAATGCTGAAAGCAGAATTACAATAGTCACCCAACTAGTCGTAGTTCAAAAATCATTTGTTTCTAATCTATCAGTACATAAACCTGCATAGTTACAGCCATTCTTTGAGAGATTGAATAAAAACAACTCTAATATCTGATAATTCAGATAATTGTCACATGTGGCTTGTAAACCTTTATCATCTCTTTCTACAGTCAAAGCTAGGTCACAACATCATTGTCAGTCACTCAAAGCAATTTGAGAGAGATTTTAGAGATCATCAGACTTATGATTTTTGAAAACAAGAAGTTTGAAAACTAAAATATTCAACATGTTTTGAAATGACCAAAAAAAAAATTCTTGAACTGATTAAAGGTTTGCTAGAGTTTTCAAGTTAATGGTTTGAAGCACGAGAGTGTGCGGGAACCCAACAATTTCACATGCACAGCCCAAAAATAAACCCAGTCAAAAACAGAGTATATCATGAAACTTCAATTTGTTCAACGGACTCTGACCACATAGCAAGAAAAAATGAAAAGTATACAGGTTCCTGAAATTCCAGAAAAGGAATCTACTATATTCCCAATCCTAATTATATGGCCGAAACCACTCAAACAAAATTCAATTCATAACAGGCATCAACTTACTCTATCCTAGTATCATCGTAATAGATACCATTTAAATGGGAAAAAGGATAAGCACAAGCATTAATTTTCATTTATTTTCAAACGAGTTTAGCATCCATAAATTTTCAAAGTTCAAACAACAGTATTGTTTATGGTTCAGATATTCACCTCATTCCATCGTCATCTAACTGCGCCAACGATACATACTGTCCAGAACCATCCACACTCAAATCCGCACTGCCACCAACTGCAACGGCGGCGTTGGCGTCTGACAGTTCCCGGCGGCGGATGCGCCTCCGGTACTCGACGCAAACGCACACAACATGAAGCACGCACTGCAAAGCGTAACCTACAATCCACAACCGAAGAGGCACGTTCGGATTCTCACTGCGACCCAAAACCAAGACCGTAACGGCTGCAACGACGAATGCGAAGTTCCAGAGAATGTCGAGAACCACGACGGGCCTCGAGTAGGCCCAATCGCTCTGCCTCTCCTCCAATTGCTCCGCCGCCGCCTCCCTCACCACCATAGACGGTTCGCGCATCAACCTCCGCCCACTCGCCTGTCGAAGGAACTGCGCCGCCTGTCGGAGACTCGGCCGGTGGAGGATTCGGCGACCGGAATTGGAGTCGTCGGAGGAAGACGCGATCAACGGCGTTGGATCGGCGGCGTCCTCGGAAGAACGGTTCGGTGACCTTGTCGTCGCCATGTGTGACTCGCTTCAGCACATCTGAATCTGAATAGTTCACAACACTTATAGAGGAAGAAGAAGAAAGGCTTCGAAATCGACGAAGGAATAAAGGGTATAGATGGAAAAAATATTTAGTCTGAGATCGGAGATGACGATTGCGATTTCCTTCTTTTCGCGGATACACTCTCGAGGTCTCTACGATGCCGTTTTAGTTTTTTTTTTTTTTTTATTTGGTTACCCCACGCACAATGGTTTATTTTCTCTCTATTTTTTCTTCCCGCTAAAACTAAAGACAACATCGTAACACGTTGTGTTTTCGTTTTTCTTTTTCCTTTTCTTTTTTTTTTTCTTCTTCTTTTTACAGCAGTAGCACATGAAGGAGAATTTCAGAAGTCGCAAATGTCGGCGTGTTATTTATTTATTTTTAATTTGGAATAGATAAATTATGATGTTCAGGAGTTTTCTTTTATTGAAAACTCGCTTGCATTACGTATCATATTCTTATTTGTCATAATAGCGTTGACCCTACGCCTTTCATTTATGAAAGGTGTTTAACAATCGTCCGATTTAACTCCGTTTTTACACGTAAACAAATTTTACATTAGTTCTGTTGAGATTCAAATCGCGTCATTAAAATGTCTCGTTATAAGGTCATGTTATTAGAAGAAGAGATTAGACTTCGAATATGTCATTAGATGTTCGGTTCTTTAGACTCGACTTTGGCCTAAAAATAATTGAGCTAATTTAAGATTTTAAAAAGTGTTCAGCTAAAGAAATATTAATCTTTAAGTCTCTCTTACGAAACAGTGACGTTCTTCTGACTATTGTTGACGTGGAGAGGGTACCTGCAAAAGTCACTCCGATGCTGAAGTCAGATTCGGTTCTGAGCAATAAATACTATTTAATAATAAAAAGTTAACTATTTACCTATACTTCCTACCTTCCTTTTATAAGCATTGTTATGGCCTAATGGGTCTGCTGAGTCAGTCTTAAATTTGGCCATTTATTCAAAGTAGATAATTACTCTTAATTGGGTTAATTACCTTTTAATCTTGACAAAAGATATTCAGCCGAATAGGTGCTCGGTTTCTTTTTCCTATATGTAGGACCAAGCAGTTCCCTATCCAGTACACTAGCCTCCCAAGCCTGAAGAAGTACAAGGTAAGGGCTTAATAATATACAAGCATCATGCACATGTAGATGAGATGGTACTCGATTTGTAGGATTAGTAGGAATACCGAGGGGAGTATTCAGTTTAAGTAACGTAGGCAGACCGAGTAGGGTACTCAGTTAAGGTGTAGTAAGTAGACTAGGTATTTGGTGGACTGAAGAATGCATACCGAAAGGGGTTTTCGGTTTAACGAAAAAGTGGTGTAGATCGTGTGGCTAAAAACCACAAGAATAAAATAAATAAATTAATAATAAATAATGGAAAAAGATAATTCTAGAATTTCAGATTTTTTAGTGTTTCCTCGATGTGTGTGTACGAAACGAAAGGGTGTTCGATCTCAACCGTTTGATATGGAAGAGATCTGTCGGTCTGGAAGGGATGCGGCCCTTCGCCTGTCCGAAGCCACAGTTCTATAAATACGTGGTGAACCATGCTTCTTTTACTCATTTTTTCTCTGAACTGAGGGGTATACACCGTTGCTCCGAACCGAAGGGTAGCCAAATTTTTAAAGATTTCTTTTCCTTCCAAACCAACTACCTGTAAGGTAAGTTTAGTCTTCCTTTCTTCTCTTTCTTATTTTACCATGGCCGAATCCTTAGAATGGGCGAACTCATTGTCAAATTCATCTGGGCCAACTAGTATTGATGGTTGGAATGCTGAGAGAACCAAAGGGGGTGAAATTTTCTTCAAGACCGAGTGGGGTAAATGAAGGAGTAGAGACTCACTTTAGGGAATGCAATGACGAAGCTGAATCGTCTGAGTCTACTGATTCTGATTTTTTCGAACTCCTACCGAGCATGAGCCCCCTAGGGAAAGACCAGTATTCCCTTCCTCTACAGTTCCTAGATACAAGTTGGTACACGGTGAAGTAACCGCCTACTTCTCTCAATTTAGAAAAAATAGGAGTCTTCAGTCTTTTGTTAACCATTGTGAAATTTTATTATGCGAACCTTCTGATCCCTACCCGATATCCATCAACCCTTGCCGAGGAAAGGAAACCGGGAACCCTGATTTTGTTTTTGTAGGAGGCGTCGGGATGACCGACACCTTTTTTATGTATGAATATATGTTTAGGGAATTAGGAATAAGGTTATCCTTCGATGAATTCCAAATGGGAGTGTTGAGGGTTCTGAATGTAGCGCCGACACAACTTCATCCGAATGGGTGGGCGGCGATACAAGTATTTAGGGTACTTTGTAAATTTCATTATATAGAACCTAGTGTAAGTTTATTTTTGCACTTCTTCTGTACTCATCCATCAGATTTAGCAAGGTGAGTATCTTTAATAAGACAACCGAATTGCCCAGGCCTTATGCTTCGTCTTTTAAGGGTTTCAAGACTGGCTACTTCAAAGTAACCGTCCACCCTGTAGGTAGAAATTATTTTTTTGATAGTGAAAACAATCCCCTCTTTCCCTTCCACTGGACCCGAGTGCCTTGCTGGTATGACTTGATTCCCGAGGACTTGTTGTCGGCCAGAGAGTTATCGGCTTTTGATTACTTGAAGTCTCTTCTCCGAGAGCTTCTTGCCCGACACATACTTCTAGTGTTAAAATCTCCTCATCCTCGTCTAAACATGGATGGTATGTTTCGTCCTTATGATTGTTTTTGAGTCAAGTTGTATTGATTTGACTTTTTGTTTTTAATGTAGGTCTAATGGCTCAACGTGGTGTCAACGTACCGACATATTGTCAAACCTTGAAGACCAGAATTCCTGAAAACACACCAATTGAGGAGCACCGAAACCCTCAACTTAACCATATGCCAGAGGTAACCGAGCTTCATCCTCCTCCCCGAGACCTTGCCATTGTCGACAATCAGCCCAAGAGGTGCAAAGAAAAAGGCAAGGAAAAAGAAAAAGAGACCGAGAGGGAGAAAAAAAGAAAGCATTCCCATTCGGGTAGACCGAGTGGTACAGATGAGGCATGAAGTCAAGCTCGAGGTGATGTGATGGCTGGTGGCAGCAGTTCTTCAAACTCTGCTATTCCTCCAGCCATATTATTCAACACCTTCCTCATCCCAGGGGTTCATGCTGGACGAGTGGTAGCCCCTGACTTGCTTTCTGATTCAAGAAAGGATGCAATCAGCAACCTAGACCTCGAGTCTTTGTGGTGGTGCTACGCGGAGCTCCAAATTTGATCCATGATGATGCTCTGAAGACTAGCTATGGAGCCTATACTCGAGGTGAAGAGGGTGCAGACTGAGTACTCCTCCTCTCAGCAGGCTTTAGCTGATAATGAAGAGATTCGGTTGAATCTTGCCGAGACCAATAAAGCTTTGGAGGCCGAGGTCGTTCAGTATAAAGAACACGATCATATAGTGGAAAGTCGGCTCCAGGCTACCGAGCAGGCCTTGAAGGCTAAGGAGGAAGAAATGGAGGCTTTAAGGGTGAAGTCATTGGGAATGAATGAGGGCCTAAGAGCCAAATCTGTTGAAATGGAAGAGGCGTTAGCTCTTGAAAGGCAAAAGGCGGATGCTGAAATGAAGGCCTTTCTTGACAAGTGTTCGGTCCAAGTTGCTATCGAACACGAGTCAGGCTTTAATCATGCCATTCGCCAGTACTATGGTTTCTGCCAAGTGCCAGTCGATTTCCATTTTGATCTCACCAAAGACTTTTTTGGTGGCAGGTTTTTACCATACAATGAAGTGGATGATGATGTGGAACTTGACGTCAAAGTCCCTTACTGAGCCAAAGTTAATAAAAATGCTCCCGATCTTGAGGCCCCCGGTCCTAATGCTAGAGAGGAGGGAAATTAGAAATAGGTCTTTTTCATGGGTCGATAGCGCCTAAATTTTGTAATCTTTTTCATACATGAATACAAGTTCACTTCTTTTCATTTTCTGATAACATTGGATACTTAAATGGAAATTTTCTTACTAAGGTACAATATCTGATTTGTTTATTACCGAAAAGGTATTCGTAATGGTAACAATATTTAATTTTTAATAATGATTCATCCTTAGCCGAGTAGGGGTACTCGGGAGGGAGTTAGTTAATTCATCCTTGGCCAAATAAAGATACTTGGGAGGGAATTTTAAATAAATGGGTCGTTCTTGACTGAGTCGGGGTACTTGGGAGCGAATTAATTAATTCAACTTTGGCCAAGTATAGATACCTGGGAGGGAATTTTAATAAATGATTCATCCTTGGCCGAGTAGGAGTACTCGGGAAGGAATTAGTTAATTCAACCTTGGCCAAGTATGAATACTCGGGAGGAAATTTTAATAAATGATTCGTCCTTGGTCGAGTAGGGGTACTCGGGAGGGAATTAGTTAATTCAACACTGGCCAAGTATGAACACTCGGAAGGGAGTTTTAATAAATGATTCGTCCTTGGCCGAATAGGGGTACTTGGGAGGGAATTAGTTAATTCAACCTTGGCCAAGTATGAACACTTAAGAGGAAATTTTAATAAATGATTCGTCCTTGGCCGAGTAGGGGTACTCGGGAGGGAATTAGTTAATTCAACCTTGGCTAAGTATGAATACTTGGGAGGGAATTTTAATAAATGATTCGTCCTTAGCCGAGTAGGGGTACTCGGGAGGGAATTAGTTAATTATTAACCAAGTGCTTGGGAGAGATTTTGTTGACTCATAAAAATCGAATAGCTGAGAAGAAGTATTTCATTGATAAGGTGCCTCGTTAAAAACCTTCCCAGAAAAACTCATTTTCACTTTCTTTTAAGAGGACAAAACCTGGGCAAGGAAAAGAGTGCACCGATTACATGTTATAGGCGTTTAACTAAAATAATGCTTCAAGTGCGTGACGTTCCAAGTTCTTGATATAGGCTTTCCTTCCAATGTCTCCAACTTGTATGTTCCATTGTCTAATCATGTCGCTACCCGAAAGGGTCCTTCCCAGTTGGCTGTCAATTTCCCTTCTCGTCGGTCTCGACGTGCTTTTCCGGTTACTCGTCATACTAAGTCATTCACGTAAAATTGTCTTAGGTTAATTTTGGAGTTGAACTTCCTTGCCATCATTCTTCTGCTAGCCTCGGTCACTATTGGTGCTTGGCCGCGTACTTCATCTAGTAAATCCAGGTTGACAGCTAAGGATTCGTCATTGGCCAATTTCTCAAAGTTTTCCCTTCAAAATAATGGTTCTCCAATTTCGACCGGCACCATGGCATCAGTACCATAGGTAAGCCAAAAAGGAGTCTCATTTATGGTGGTTTGCAGCATACATCGATAAGCCCATAAGATCTCGGGTAGTTTCTCTGCCCATTCTCTTTTTGTCGACCCCAACCTTCTTTTTAACTCATGTAAGATGACCTTGTTTGCAGCCTCAGCCTGACCATTGGTCTGCGGATGTTCGACAGACGTGACCTTGTGTTTAATGTGAAGCCCTTCCAAAAATTTATTGAATCGTTGATCTGTGAACTAGAGCCCGTTATCTGTAATCAATGCATGAGGGAGACTGAAACGTGTGATAATGTTTTTCCAAGTAAACTTATGTACATTGTTGGCCGTGATGGTAACGAGTGGCTCGGCCTCAATCCACTTGGTAAAGTAATCTATGACGACAATTAGGAATTTACACTACCCTTTTGCCAAGGGAAAAGGACCGAGAATTCCCCAAATGATGAATGGCCAAGGAGAAGTGATGGAATGAAGGGTGTCGGCATACTGGTGTATGTGAGGACCGTGTTGTTGACAGGGAATAGATTTCTTTACAAAGATGCTGCAATCTTTGGACAGTGTCGGCCAGAAGTATCCAGTTCTTAGAACTTTAACTGCCATGGTTCGTCCTCCCGAATGTGTGCCACAGATTCCTTCATAAATTTTCCTCATCACATAGTTGGCTTGATCTTCATCTAGACATTTCAGTATAGGTGTTGAAATTCCTCTTTTATATAGCTCTTTGTCGAGGATTGTGTACTTGGCTGCCTGCATCCATACTTTCTTAGCCAAGTCTAGCTCTTTTGGCAAACTGTTGTCGATAAGGTATTGGATAATCGGGGTCATCCAATTGTGAGACATATTTTCTATATCCATGCACTCTTTCTTGGCAACACTCGATTTAGAGATTTCATGGTGAATCACGCTTTGTAATTGCTCAAGTTTCCTTTGACTAGCAAGCCTATCGGCTTGTTCGTTCATGGTCCTCGATGTATGTTGAACATGTACCTCGTCAAATTCATCCTTTATATTCTTGATAATATTAGAGCATAACCGAATCCTTCACCTGATATGTTCCATTGACCTATTCGGCCACTATCTTCGAATCACTCCAGCAAGTGATGCGTTTTACTCCAATTTCTTTTGCCAATCTGAGATCGACTAGTAAAGCCTCATACTCGGCTTGATTATTGGATGCCTTGAATCCAAATCGAATAGATTGTTCAATAGTTACAGTGTTTGGTCCCTCTAATATAATGCCTGCACCACTACCTAGCCGGTTTGATGATTCGTCTACGTGCAGGTTCCAAATATCAGAGCTGGTCTGTGGACCTCTTTGACATTCCGAGGACTAGTCATTTTGATGGTGGCTTGACACTTGTCAAGATTCGCCTAGATCCCTCTCTCGGATAACATAAACCCCAAGAACTTGCTACCAGCTACCCCGTAGGTACACTTCTCTGGGTTAAATCGCATCCCATGCCGCCTAGCTTCCCCGAACACCTCCTTTAAATGAGCGATATGTTGTTCTAAGGTAGTAGATTTAACCACCATGTCATCTACATATACCTCCATGCATTTCCCTACTTGTTTCTCAAAAATTTTATTCATCAACTTCTGATATGTCGTCCCCGCATTCTTCAGGCCAAAGGGCATTACTCGATAACAAAAATTTCTCGAGTCTGTGATAAATGTCATCTTCTTTTCATCAGGGGATACATTCTGATCTGATTATACCCAGAGTAGGCGTCCAAGAAACTGAGTATCCTATGGCTAGCTGCACCGTCTACTAAGGTATCAATGTTTGGAAGGGGATATGCATCCTTCGGGCATGCCTTATTAAGGTCAGTGAAATTCATACACATTCATCATTTTCCATTTGTTTTTTTAACCATGACGACATTGGCCAGCCAAGTAGAGTATCTGACTTCTCGGATAAGGCCGGCCTGTAGCATTTTGTCAATTTCCTCTTTTATTGCTTTCGCTCTATCGCCTCTAATTTTTCTCTTCTTTTGTGCTATCGGTTTGACCCCTTTATAAACTGATAGGTGATGACAGAGAAACGCCGAGTTGATACCGGGCATGTCAGAAGCCGACCATGCAAACAAACCAGCATTACACTGCAAAATTTTTTGAAGATCTTGCCTCTTTTGTGCAAATAGACAAACCCCCAGGTAAGTGACCTGTTCAGCCTTTGGTCGAAGCTGAAAAGGTTGCTTGTTCTCGTTGGGCTCAACTCGACATCCCTCATCTACTCTAAGGTCGAGTTCAATATCCAAGTCTTCTGCAGACCAAGGGGATACAATATCGACATCTCAGTTGCATTCATGAAAAGGCTTGAGATGCAGGTCTTATGGTTAGCATGAACTGTAATGATTCGATCCCTTTCGGAGGGAAATTTCATAGCCAAGTGAGGAGTAGACACTATGGCTTTCAACTTGTTAAGGGATGGTCTGCCAAGTAGTATATTGTACGAGGTATTCGCGTGTACCACTAGGTAAGTAACCTTGATACGTTTTCTCTCGTGCTCTGACCCAAATGAGGTGTGAAGGTCAATACATCCCCGGGTCTCTACTCGTTCCCCAAAGAAACCGACCAGTGGTTCATAATATTTTTTAAGTTCTTCTTCTGGTATGCCCAGCTGCTTGAATGTATTCCAGTACAGGATATCGGCCGAGCTTCCTTGATCAATTAGTATTTTTCGGACGATGCAATTAAGGATGTCCACACTTATGACCATGGGATTATCCTGTATTGGATCTACTCCCTGAAAGTCTTCGTCCGTAAATGTATTGGGCGGGATCCAGATTCTACTACTCAATGACACATTGTTGATGAAGCGTACTTGCCTGAGATGTCTCTTTCTAGCCGAATGAGTGGGTCCTCCACCTGCAAACCCACCGACTATGGTGTTAATAACTCTTTTTGGGTATTTTCTCGCTCCTCATATCGTTTTACAGGAGGCTCTCTTGACCGGCTTCGCTGTTGCTCGGGCTACTTATCTTCATACCTTCTTGATGATTGGGGGTAACGGTCTCTACTTCTTTCGGCATGACCAGTGGGGTTTGTTTGCACAAATCCTCTAAGGTGTCCGTCCTTGATCAAATCTTCAATTTTATCTTTTAGGGCCGTGCACTCCTCTGTCGTATGGCCCCTATTGCGATGATATCGACAAGATTTACTCTTATCTGCCCGAGGGAGGGTGTTGGCGCGCCTGGGCATACTCAAGATTTCTATTGCTAAGGCTTGATCAAGTACCCTGGATCAGTTAGTATTAATTGTAGTGTAGGAAGGATATTTGGGCCCCCTAGACGACCTCTCAGGCTCATGCCTTCTTTCTTTATTTTCTTGCCGAGATTTGAAAGTCTCTTTCTTATCTATATTTTTTGAATTAGACTCCTAGTCCATTCGAACTTGATTTCGATATTCGGCTAATTCCTCCATCTGCATATACTTTGCAGCCCGGCTCCTCAACTCATCCAAGTCAGCTTGTGGCTTTTTGCATATACTGTTAACGAAAGGACCTGGCTTAAGGGCTGTTGTAAGGTGGTGCATGACCACGGCTGGTTCCAGATTATGAATTGAAAGGGTCAGTTTGCCGAATCGTTCCATGAACGCTCAAAGTGATTCACCTTTTTCCTGACGAATGTTGACAAGTGCCAAGAATGTCAATGGGTGAGGTCGGCTTGTGGCGAACTGCAAATTGAACCGTCTTGTGAGGGTTGCGAAGGAGTCAATGGATGAAGGGGGGAGGCGGATGAACCAAGTAAGAGTTGATCCTCTTAGTGAAGTGAGAAAAATTTTGCACCATAAGGAATCATTTTCTGTATACAGACCGACCTGGGTTGTGAAAACATCCAGATGTTCCCTAGGGTCAGATGTGTCATCATACTTTTCTATTGACAGACCTTTCTAGTTGTCGGATAACTGATAGTCATATTTTGATGTGTTAGTAAGTCATTTAGGATTTAAATGTAAATCTTTCTTAATTCCCGCCATAATTTCTTGTTTTGACATAGTTTCTTGCAAAGACCATATTTGGAGATACACTACTCGAAATTGAAAAAAATTTGTGTCCTTGGAAAGATAAGAAAGAGATCTACAACTTCTCTGTTGGGAGAAAAGTCCGGTTCGAGCATCTTCAAACCCAAAATTGAGTCACAATGTTGCGGCCCTGCACTGAAATTTTCAGAATTTGATTGTATTTTTTATATTACTTCGTGTCACAATGTTGCGGCCCAATTATTTTGTCTTTAAATAGAGGTTATGACTTCATGTATGGAATCTCTTCCCTCATTTTTTTTATAATTCAAAAAGTCTTTATTCTAAATTATTTCTTTTTCTCTCTTTTATTTTCGTCCCTCTACATTCCATCTTCTCGTATTTTCTGGTTTTGGCCGAAGCAAGCATGATCATGACCAAGGCTAATCCATCAATCGATTCAAGGTTTCAAGAACTACATTGCATTTGAGTTTCGAATTAGGTTCTATCGAATTCTCTCCCTTCCTCCTCTTTTTCTGATTAGGATAATTACGTTTTTCATGATATTGAATTTTCATTTGCAACCTAAACAGAGAATGAGAATTTCAGATTCAAAATAAATGAATTCACCTAATTCAATCAATCAATTGTTCTGAATTTCGTTAGAGCATTGGATTTGCAATTGCAGTTTTTGTTTTGATGGAATTCATAATCTAGATTTAGATTTCGGATTGTTAATGTCGAATTGAATTGGTGTTGATTGAAAATTCGTTGTAATTGTATTCTTGTAACAATGATAATTGCATTGTAGTGATTGAGATCTTGAATTGGTTGAAGTTCATATTTCGTTGAAATTATTCTTTGTTCGTTTCTGTTGTTTACAATTTAATTCAAAACAATCCTCCCCCAAGCTAACCTGAAAACTGTATGATGGAACCAGAAGCAGAATGCATTTTATGTCCTTGTGAGATGACCTAGGGTTACTCCTTCTATTGCAAAATTTTTGAGAAAATCTAGTTTATTTGATACCATTACGACGTGGTTATCAAAATGGCGTCGTTGCCGGGGACATAAGTCATTTTATTTTTATTTCATCGTGCATTTTGTTCATGTATTCCATTCTGCGTATTGTGTTTGTATTTGTTTGCAAACTTTGTTCTTGTGTAATTGATTTTGTGATTCGTTTGCTCATGCATTTTGTTTTACAGTTTTGAGAGCATTCTGTATTTTGATGTTTGCTTTCTTCAATAATCATTCTTAAATTCCAGTTTGATCACTAAGTATTTTGTGTTTGTTTTTCAGTTTTAGTTTTGCAATTCAATTTGTATGTGTGTGTCCGATCAATTCATGTTTTAGTGTTTAGTTGTGTTCCTTTGATTGTCTATTCCATTGTAATTCAATTGGTAATTGAGTGTGTGAATTGGTTCCATTGTGTGTGGCTACATGCGAAAAACAGAGGACTAGTAGGAATAGAAAACTAAGTTGCTGCATATTTTGCTATCAGATTTTACTGTTCCATTAGTACTGTTCATGCACTATTCATCAGATTTTGAAAAATTCAAAAAAGAAAAACTAGAGATCGAATTTTAATCTGAATTTTTGTGTCCACATTTCTTTTGGTGTTTATTAGTGTTTAGAGTTGGTAGATTGCAAAAATCATTAATAGAAAAAGAGATACATCTTGGTGGGTAAGAAAATTTTTGTGAAATTTTAAAGTGACATAACTTTTGCTAGAAAACTCCAAATTGAGCATATTGCATATGCATTTGGGGTAGAAAAAAATTTCCTATGTAATGCAACCCACTCTATTGGTTGAGGCTGCCCAGAATTTTAACAATCGCCTATTTTCTAAAATTTTGTATTTTTTAGCATTTATTGACCTATTTTTCTTGATTTTAGGCCTCTTATTTCCATAGTAAATCAATTCAAAAAAATCTAAAAAATTTTGTGGTATTTTCCCATACCAAAAAGAGATTTATCATGGTTCCACTTCATTCATA